AATTCCATCTCACGAGTCAAAAAAATCACATCCCTCATCTATCGTAACAACTTTAAAGGTAAATAAATAAAAGTCTAATTACTACTATAAATCCATTATTTATATATATTTTTTAAAAATCTAAATTTCACCTGTCTAATTACTAATATTTTAGATACTTTTAAATATTATTTGTATATTTTTTTTTTACACATTTGCTCTCTCTATATATATACATATGGAGGTTAAATGAACAATTTTTAGACATATTTTCCTTACATGTAGTTTAGAAAAATTTAGGTAGCTTCAAACATTATTTGTGAATAATATAGAATATTTTAGATGTTTTTATAGATGTTATAAAATATTTTAAGTATTTTTAATATTTATATATCACACTTAAAAAAAATACTTTGCCAAAAAAACATTAAATACACATTGTAAATGTTAATAGAAACAGTCTTCAGTGTTCGTCTTTGATTTTGTCAAAACAAATCTCATAAAATCGATGAAGTCAAAATTTGTACGTAAAGTCTATCTATACTAAAATAAAAAAGGTAGATTCAAAATTCTTTATCTAATTTCTTCTTTTCCTTATCTAATTCCTTCTTATTATCTAATTGTATAGAAATCTGTTCTGATTTTGTTCAATCATCTAATTGTATTTGTATTATATCCCATAAAATTGGTTTAACAAAAAAAATCTCATAACATCCGATAAGTAAAAAAAAAAGTACGTAAAATCTTTACTAAAATATAAAAAAGGCTTTATTTATTATCTAATTTATGATCTAATTGTATGAAAACCTGTTCCGATTTTATAGTACGTACTACAAATTGTGCACTCGTGTTCAGGAGCTATTTAACGGGCAAGCTCTGTGGAAATAACTCATTTAGTGCTTCTGTTCCGTGCATACGGTATGTATTTGTATTACACATACTAGAAAATTGTGCACCCCGTGCATCGCACGGACTCTGTACTAATAAATGACCTTAAAATTGTGCACCCCGTGCATCACATGTGTTCACATTTTGGCCTATTACAGGTCACGTACTATATATCCCGTACATTTTTCTTTATTCATTTATATAATTATAAGACTTGATAAATGACCTTAATTTTGTGCACCCCGTGCATCGCACGGAATCTGTACTAGTATGGAGAATTAGCGGAAAGAATAGATGAGAAACAATTATGTCATTTATTGAGAACGTATTGACGCGAGAAGTCGACTTTACCACAAGTCGAGATTGTCTGCTGCATGACACATACTAGAAACAAAAGGGCTAAGCAAGAACGGGATCGGACAGCCTGCGACCGGATGGGGCGGCCTCCCAGACGGTGTCCCTTGATTGACAGCGAGCCCGAGTCTAACCGCCCTGGTGTGCGAACTCACCAATGAAAACCACTCACGACCGGCTAACTAACATTGATTTTATAATATTGCTAAAAATTATAATACTGTTTTTTTTACGATTTCTATAAATTGTATTTATTTGTTCAGTTGCATTTTGTTTATTGTTGGGGTCATTATCTGCAAGTAAAGTACTTAACCCGTGTTGTTATGTGATTTCTAACAACGATATAACAAGTGATTAAGTTAATAATTACGAACGATTTAGACGTAAAGCATGTAAAAAGAACTCAACAATGGCCCCGGTCCGAGGTGAACCGAGGTGAAGAGCCATTATGGGCTTTTACGTGTTGCATATGAATGAGTTCGGGATCCCCCGTACATGTGTTGGAGGCAGTCTATTTATAGCAACTTTTTACGTACATCTCGGGATTTGTGCATCAGCTTTTTCATAAAGCTACTTTTTGATGGGCGGCAGGATCAGTGGCCCCCATTTGAATGATGAAAAATCTCGTAATTCGTGGTGGGGGTGCGTAGGTGCCTTGTCACCTGCTTTAAGAGGTGTGACCTCGGTTTGTTCTTAGAAGGTAGGACCTCGGTTCGCGTTTACTCCGGTTTGGCAAGACTTCGGTCTTCGGTGATCCAAATCGGTTCCCTGTCCGAATTAGTTCAGCTTCTGATAATGTCGGTTCGATGATTAATTTCACTTAACATGATGCTTGAAACTTCTTAATGGTGTTTTGCCGAGTCGGATGATAACAGAGAGGCCCCCAATATCGGTGGGCATACGGAGTGATGATCATCGATATTGTCACACATCTAGAGGCTCCGAATCGGTATAAAATTTGCGGCTGAGTGGTTGTCTTCATCGGTCTTCCGACGTGACCGAGGTAACCGAAGTGAGTTGTTTGCTCCGAAGTGCAGACTATATTCCGAGGTGAAAACACTTGGTAAAATTCGAGCAATTTGCAGGCAGTCGCGACAGGAGAAATGTGAATAGTTGTAACGGTCAATGATTTAGTGTTAGAACGAACGGTCGCGCCGTAATGGCCATAAATGAGGTAACGATCGGCTTTAATAGGTCGCCACGTGTAACAGTAGGCTTCTACCAGACGAAAAGGTGGCACCGGTTGGAATTAGGGGTCGCGTCGGTTAGACGCGCCCCTAATTAAGATCCCTAACGGTCATAAACCGGAGATTATAAATAGGGTTTTGCAATTTCGGATTGAACTTTCTTCACCTTTGCTTTGATCCTTGAGTTTGTGCATTATATTGTCGTTGAAATTCCTCTGAGAGTTCGAGAGTTGTTTCCTGCGCACTGTGT